GTTCATCCTGGAGTTCAGTTACTAGTGGTGTACCGCAAGGATCTGTTTTGGGGCCACTGCTGTTTGTCATTTTTATACATGACGTGGATGAGGGCTTAGAAGGATGGGTTAGTAAATTTGCGGATGACACTAAAGTCGGTGGAGTTGTGGATTGGGCGGAAGGATGTTGCAGGTTACAGAGGGACATAGATAAGCTGCAGAGCTGGGCTGAGAGGTGGCATACGGAGTTTAATGTGGAAAAGTGTGAGGTGATTCACTTTGGAAGGAGTAACAGGAATACAGAGTACTGGGCTAATGTTAAAATTCTTGGTAGTGTGGATGAGCAGAGAGATCTCGGTGTCCATGTGCATCGATCCCTGAAAGTTGCCACCCAGGTTGATAGGGTTGTTAAGAAGGCGTACGGTGTGTTAGGTTTTATAGGTAGAGGGATTGAGTTTCGGAGCCATGAGTGATGTTGCAGCTGTACACGACTCTGGTGCGGCTTATGAGGAAAGGCTGAGGGACTTGAGGCTGTTTTTGTTAGAGAGAAGAAGGTTAAGAGATGACTCGATAGAGACATACAAGATGATCAGAGGATTAGATAGGGTGGACAGTGAGAGCCTTTTTCCTCGGATGGTGATGGCTAGCACGAGGGGACGTAGCTTTAAATTGAGGGGTGATAGATATAGGACAGATGTCAGAGGTAGGTTCTTTACTCGGAGAGTAGTAAGGGCGTGGAATGCCCTGTCTGCAACAGTAGTAGACTCACCAAGTGTAACGGCATTTAAATGGTCATTGGATAAACATATGGATGATAATGGAATAGTGTAGGTTAGATGGGCTTCAGATTGTTTTCACAGGTCGGCGCAACATCGAGGGCCGAAGGGCCTGTACTGCACTGAAATGTTCTATGTTCTATTGTAGAATCCCACAGTGTGGAATCAGGCCATTCGGCCCAACTAGTCCACACTAACCCTCTGAAGACCATCCCACCCAGACCCATCCCTCAAAACCTGCATTTCCTATGGCTCATGCACCTAACCTACACACCCCTGAACACTATGGGCAGTCTAGCATTGCCAGTCCACCTAACCAGCACAACTTTGGACTGTGGGAGGAAACTGGAGCACCCTGCAGAAATCCACGCAGATATTGGGAGACTCAGCACAGACAGTTGACCGAAGCTGGAAGCGAACCCAGGCCCCTGGTGCTGTGAGGCAGAGAGCTAACCACTGAGCCACTTGCTGTCCCTCGGTGTTATTGTACGTTCATTTTCAGAGTTATACTACAAAGATGTAAGGATTTGTTTCCACTGTATCTTTCACCAAATCGCCTTTTAGAGAATAGCAGTTTAGCCCAACATGCCTATGCCAGCTCTCTGATCCAGCAATTAGACTACTCCATATTAATTCTCCATAGCGCTTAAAACTAATGCGGAAGTTAACATTTGCAAGAATGTAGAAGATTATCTTGTCATATATATATGTATGTGTTGGCGTTCTTTTAAATTGGAATTGACCATGTTAGTGAAATCCTGATTGCATTTTTTTTAGTCTGAGTCAGGAAGAAGAGCAATACATTCACGCATGCATGTTTTAAATATGCTGGATAGCTGCTGTCTTTAAAATGAACAGTCCTTTTCCTCAAGTAATGTTAATATAACATGTATTGGACCAGAACTGAGAATATGAAATGTTATATCATAGAAACATAGAAGATAGGAGCAGGATGAGGCCATTTGGCCTTTCGCGCCTGCTCTGTCATTCTTCACGATCATGGCTGATCGTCCACCTGAATAGCCTAATCCTGCTTTCTCCCCATAACCTTTGATCCCATTCGCCCCAAGTGCTGTATATAGTCGCGTCTTGAATACATTCCATGATTTGGCATTAACTACTTCCTGTGGTAATGAATTCCACAGGCTCACCACTGTTTGGGTGGAGAAATGTCTCCTTGTCTCTGTCCTAAATCGTCTACCCTGAATCCCCATAGGGTGACCCCTGGTTCTGGACACACCACCATGGAGAACACCTTTGCTGCATCTACTCTGTGTGGTCCTGTTAGAATTTTATAAGTCTCTGAGATGCCCTCCTTATTTGTCTGAACTCGAGCGAAAACAATCCCAACCTAGTCAATCTCTCCTCATATGTCAGTCCTTCAATCCCCGGAATCAGCCTGGTAAACCTTCACTGCACTCCCTCGAGCAAGAGCATCCTTCCTCAGAAAAGGATACCAAAATTGCGCACAATATTCCAGGTGTGGTCTCACCAAGGTCCTGTACAACTGCAATGACACATCCCTGCTCCTGTCGTCAACCTCTCGCAATGAAGGCCAACGTACCATTTGCCTTCTTTACGGCCTGCTGCATCTGCATGCTTACCTACAGTGACTGGTGCACAAGGACGCCCAGTTCCCGCTGCACACTCCCCTTTTCCCAATTTACAACCATTCAGGTAGTAATCTGCCTTCTTGTTTTTGCTTCCAAAGTGAATAACCTCACATTTATCCAAATTATACTGCATATGTTATTCATTTGTCCACTTGCCCAACTGTCAAAATCATGATCATACTAGTGGATCGCTGCATCCTTGTCACAGTTCACCCTCCCACCCAACTTGGTATCATCTGCAAACTTGGAGATGTTGCATTTTATTCCCTCATCAAAATCATTAATATATATTTTGAATAGCTGGGGTCCCAGCACCAATTTCTGTGGCACCCCACTCGTTATTGCCTGTCAATTCGAAAAGGACCCATTAATTCCTACTCTGTTTCCTTTCTGCCAATCAGTTTGCTATCCGTCTCAATACACTTCCCCCGATCCCATGCATTTTAATCTCGCACAATGATCTCTTTTGCGGAACTTTGTCAAATGTTTTCTGAAAGTCCGAATATACTACATCAACCAGCTCTCCCTTGTCAGCTCTACTCGTTACATTTTCATAGAATTCCAACAGATTTGTCAAGCATGACTTCCCCTTCATAAATCCATGCTGACTCTGCCTGATCCTGTCACTACTTTCTAAATGCTGTGCTAGAAAATCCTTGACAATGTATTCGAGAATTTTCCCCACTACTGATGTTAGACTCACTGGTCTATAATTCCCTGTTTTCTCTCTACCTCCCTTTTTGAATATTAGTGAGACATTAGTCACCTTCCAACCTTCAGGGACTGTTCCAGAGTCTATAGAATCCTGGGAGATGACCACCAATGCATCCACTCTTTCTAGAGCCATCTCCTTCAGTGCTCTGGGATGTAGATTATCAGGCCCTGGGGATTTATCGGCCTTCAATCCCAACAATTTTCCCAGCACCATTTCTCTATTAATATTGATCTCTGTCAGTTCTTCCCTGTCACTAAATCTTGCATCCTCCAACAATTCTGGTATCTGTTTTGTGAAGACCAGAGCCATAGTATGTATTCAGTTGCTTAGCTGATTCTTTGTCCCCTATTATACATTTCCCTGTTTCTGTCTGCCCGGTACCTATATTTGTCTTCATCAGTCTTTTTCTCTTCATGTACCTACAGAAATTCTTAACTTGCAGGGAACATAAACACTGATGCTTACTTTCATACTCTATTTTCCCCTTCTTAATCAATCCCTTGATCATTCTTTGCTTACTTCTAAACTGATCCCAATCCTCAGATTTATTATTTTTCTTGGCCAATCTGTACGCTTCTTCCTTGGATCGGATACTATCTCTTATTTCTTTTGTAAGCCCTGGATTGGCCCTCTTACCCATTTTGCTTTTGCAACTGACAGGAATAAACAGTTGTTACAGTTCCCCCATGCTTCCCAGTCTAAGATGGCTTGCTGTCTGGTTGGTTCCTCCACACATTGGTGAAGAAACCATTCTGTGTGCACTCCAGGAATTCCTCCTTTACAGTATTGTGGCTAATTTGACTTGCCCAATCTATGTGCAAATTAAAATCACCCATGATCACCAATATTACCTTATCGCATGCATCTCTAATTTCCTGTTTAATGGCATTCTTGACATCATCACTGAAGTTTGGAGCTCTATATATGACACCTACAAATGTTTTTTGCCCCTTGATATTTCTCAACTCTACCCATACAGACTCCACATTGTCACAGTTAATATCCTTTCTCACTATTGTGTCAACTTCCTCTTTAACCAGCAATGCTGCTCTGCCACCTTTTCCTTTTTACCTGTCCTTCCTAAATACTGATTACCGTGGGACATTCAGTTCCCATCCCTGGTCATCCTGCTGCCACGTCTGCGTAATCCCAATTATATCGTACCCTTTGACATCTATGTGCATGATTAGTTTATCCACTTTATCGTAGATGCTCCGTGCATAAAGACACAAAGCCTTTAAGCTTGTCCTTTTAACAGTGTTTGTCTACTCCTTGTTTTTCTCAATAGCCCTGCTTGAATCTTGTCCTTCATTTCTCAGCCTATCACTTTTCTCATTCCCTTTTCTTGCTGCCTTCTTCTTTGACACTTTAAGTTGGTTCCCATCCCCCAGTATATTAGTTTAAACACTCCCTCAAGGACATCAGTCCCTTGACAACACTTCCTCCTCAAACCCCTGTTTGGTAGTGGTGACTGTGCTGATACAAACCTTCACCCCAGCTTCCAATCAGTGTTGTCGCTGCTGTCTGCTGGACATTCGTCATCGCTCAAACTCGGAGGGTGTCTTGCTGAGGTCCTCCTTTTGCTGGTGCTCACTGTGCCGATGCAAATCTTCGCCTGCAACTGCCAATCAACGTCGTCGCTGCTTATATGCTTGCCTCCCTAGTATGCAGTTGTATTTATCCACTGTGTAACTTTGCTAATTATTCAGAAATGATTGTTTCCATGCCAGTTTTAATTCATATTGAAGTGCCATTAAAAATAGGTGCATGTTAGCTTTTACAGGAGATAGAAACCTTGACAATAGTGTTGTACAGGTTGCAGCCAGATGAGCTAGACTACTGTGTGGCTTGATATGTTTTTGTCATTTAGTTGAAAAGTCATTATTATTTATCTTTTTTGTTTGTGATCTTTTTCAGGTTGTACCTGTGCACGTTTACTTTGGCTGTTTCAGCTGGTGCGGTCTTGCTATTGCCATTTTCAATTGTCAGCAATGAGATCCTGCTTTCCTTTCCACAAAATTACTACATACAGTGGCTGAATGGTTCATTAATTCATGGTTAGTATGTATTGCTATCCATAACATTTGGAAAGGCCCATGTTGATGCTAATGACAAACTTCAATGTGTTCTATTTTGTGCAAACCTATGATTTTGTATAATCACATGTCTTAGACAGTGTGCTAGTTAAAAAATGAATTATTGATCCAATGCATATTCATGGTTGTGAATATTAATGTAACAGTTGCTACTTCTGGCAACTTTTTTTTTAGTTTTTTTTTCATCTGTGGGATTTGGGTATTGCTGTCAAATCCGGCATTTAATTGCCCAACTTTAATTATCTTTGATAAAGTTGTAGTGATCTGCTATGTGAACCACTGCATTCCATATAGTATCTATATTGGCACAGTACTATTAGAAAGTGAAATACCAGGACTTTATTCCTTCATTTTTATTCAATGATATAGTTCTGAAGGGAATTTCCTGTTAGTGATCCTGTGCTTTTGCTGCCCTTATTCTTTCATTTGGTTGAAATAGATCATGGGTTTTAGGAGATGCTGTTGAAAGAGCCTTGGTGAGCTACTGCAGGGCATGTTGTAGATGGTGAGCGCTGTTGCCAGTAGGTGGTGAATGAGGTGCTGAAGAAGTGGGTTTTCTTTAAGTTTCTTGAGTATTGTTGTAATTGCACTTATCCAGGCAAATGGGGTATTCCATCACATGACTTTTATTAGGTTCGCTCATTTAATGACCATCCCGCATATCCCTTGAGAAGGTGCCTTCTTGAGCTGCTGCAATCCATTTGATATTGGTGAACCCACAAGTCATTTGGGAGGGAGTTTGAGGAAGGAACTGAAGGATATATTTCCAAGTCAGGATGGTCACTGGTCTGGAGGGCAACTTGCAGGTGGTGATAATGGTGTTCTCACATATTTGCAGCCTTTGTCTTTACAAATAGTCGTGATTGTGGGATTGGCAGGTGCTATCATGGTGAATGTCTGCAGTGCATGTTATAGATGATACAGACTGTTGCCACTCAGCATCAGTGGAGGGAGTGAGTGTTTGTTGCAATGGAGCCAATCAAGTGGCTTACTTTGTCCTGGAGGCTGCCAAGTGTTGCTGAAGTTGCATTCATCCAGGCAAGTGGCAGTATTCCATCAGAGTTCTGACTTGTGCCTTTTAAATTGTGGACAAGCAGGAGGTGAGTTACTTGCTGCAGTATTCCTAGCCTCTGACCTGCTGCTGTTACTGCAGTATTTACATAGCTAGTCCAGTTCAGTTTCTGTTGAATGGTGAACCCCAGAATGTTGTTATTGGGGAATTCATTGGTAATGCTATGGAATGTCAAGGGGCGATGGTTAGATTCTCCCTTTTGGGAGACAGTCATTGGTTGGCTAATGTTACTTGCCACTTGTCAGCCCTAGTCTCGATATTAGCCAGACTTTGCTCCATTTGGATGCAGACTGTTTTAGTTCTGGAGGAGTTGTGAATGGTGCTGAAGTTTGCACAATCATCAACTTATGAAGGGAAGGTCATTCAAGCAGCTGAGGTTCGATTACATGAAGTCAATAGGTGTTGAGGAATATGGGGAGAAAGCAGGAGTATGGCTTTGAATGGCAGAGTAGACTCAGGACCAAATGGTCTTCTCATGCTCCTTTTTTTTTTGATCCTGAGAATATTGGTCCAGTCTCACCAATGGTGCAGCAGGTTCTGGAGTTCAAAATGTCAGTCCTGCAGCCAGTATATTGTAGTAACTCATTGGACTTTGCTGTATTATGTATCTTTAAGCTGATTGAGCATCCAAAAGAAAAATGAAATCAATGTAAAATCTGCATGCGCATTTGCACTCAATTCGGATGGTAACCAAGATCTGTTGCATAGGTCTTGTTGCGATTTCTTTAATAGCCAGGATTGCCCATAACCATATTGCAACTAAGAAGCATGGAATTTCCTGTTCTGCCCTAATTCCATTTTGTAATATTGTCACCACATGTGCATCTTTCCAATGTGTGGAAACAAAGCCAGACTTTAGTAAGATCTTGAAATAAGTGAACATGCTACTCAAGAGCAGAACTCCTGTTTCTTTAAAGCAAAATCAATGTTTCAATTACTTAGTCTTGGAATTAAAATAATTGCTAAAGGAAGGACCCAGCATCTATGGCTAATTAAAGAAGTTACGGGAAGCATCAAACTTAAGGAAAACAAAAGCTGTGCAAAGGATTGCTTAGAACATAAAGAGCAGCGGAGACTGGCCAGGATGAAGAAATTAGACTGAAAAGCAGCTAGCTGGAAATGTGAAGACAGATATTAAGAGTTTCTACAGATTTTTAAAGAGGACATTTGTCATCTGAAGCGAGAGCTTTGTATTTGCATCAGGCATTTGATATAAACTGGCCCATATAAACTGTTAATTTATTGCGTTTATCATTGGGTAATTTTTAAAATTCAATGTTAAGGAATTAATAACATTTGGAACGTCAAAATGCAATCCACCAGAATCAGCACGGTATTATGAAGGGTAAATTGTGTTTGACTGATTTGCTAGAGTTCTTCGAAGATGTAACCAGCAAAGTGGATAATGAGGATCCTGCAGATGTCGTATCTTGGTACTTCCAGGACGTACTGATAACGTGCTGATGGCTTTTTCGTTCACTCGTGGGACGTGAGGGTTGCTGGCTGGCCAGCGTGTATAACCCATCCCTTGTTGCCCTTGAAGCTGGTTGTGAGCTGCCACCTTGAACTGCTGTAGTCCATGCTCTTTAGGTTGACGCACAATGTCCTTACGGAGGGAATTCCATGATTTTAACCCAGTTACAGTAAAGGAATGGTAATATATTCCCTCGTCAGGATGATGATTGACTTGGAGGGGAACTTGCAGGTGGTGGTGTTCCCATGAATCTGCTGCCCTTGTCATTTTAGATGGAAGCAGTCATGGGTTTAGAAGGTGCAGTCTGAGGATCTTTGGTGAATTTCTGCGTTGCATCTTGTAGATAGTGCACACTGCTAGTCCTGAGCATCAGTGGTGGAGGCAGTGGATGCTTGTAGATGTGATGCTGATCAGCCTGGCTGCTTTGTCTTGGATGGTGTCAAGCTTCTTGAATGAACTTGTTGGAGCTGCATCCATCCAGGCAAGTGGGGAGAATTCCATCACACCTGACTTGTGCCTTGTAGATGGTGGACAGGTTTTGGGGAGTCAGGAAGTGAATTACTTGCTGCAGTATTCCTAGCCTCTAACCTGCTCTTGTAGCCACTGTTAATGTGGTGAGTCCAGTTGAGTTTTTGGCCAATGGTAATCCCAAGGATGTTGATAGTGTTGGATTCAGTGATGGTAACACTACTGAATGTCAGGCTGCTGTGGTTAGATTAACCATCGCCATCAAGAGGCAATGCTGTGTCCTGCAGTGGCAGCGGAGCAAGCATGGGCTAAGTCGCGGACCGAATCCCGGAGCAATGGCAGCAGAATGAGCACGGGCTGGGTTGAGTCCCGAAGCAACGAATGGGCCGAAATCCTGAGTTCCAGAGCAGTTCATGGGGAATTCCAAGTCCCGAAGCTGCACGTGGTGAAATGAATCCCGGTATGGTGTGACTTAGCTTGTTGCTGTTGAGTGTCGGTGAGGAGCAGTCTGGAGGCTTGAGTGATGCGGGACAGTCATTGGACTTGGGCCTGGCACCATCTGTTCAGCTACTACAGTTTTTGGAACTTTTTACTGGATTGTAATGTGAATCCTTTTCATAATGTTATAACTAACTCATTCTCAGATACTGTAAGTAATCATACTGCTTTCTTTTTAATCCTCTTCTGTACAACAACACTATATTTTGTTTTAACTCTAAGATTTATACCTAGGTACTTCTACCGAAGATGTTTCCATTAAAAGGCAGCCATTGTAAAAACCTTTCACTGTACTCCTGTACTTCAGTACTGGAGTACAAGAGACAATAAAGGATGTTCAAAAATTCAAATTGTGTGGTGCTATTGTTAGTTGCTACTTGTCAGCCCAAGTCTGGATATTATCCAGATCTTGTTGCATTTAAACATTGACCGTTTCAGCATTTGAGGAGTTGCAAATGGTGCTGAACATTATGGATTTGCCAGTGAATGTTCCCACTTATCAAGGAGGGAAGGTCATTTGTGTACACAAGATCGCAAGGAGTTAGCAATAATTTATTAGCTCAGATGGAGAATTAGCTAACGAACTGAAAGCAGAGAATCTGGATAAATGGGTTGGCAAGATGTAACTAGTAGGGTGCCACAATTTTGGTCCTCGGGCCAAACTATTTATGATCTCTATTAATGACTTGACTGCAGGGGTAGAAAGTTCTATAGCCGCGTTTACAGATGATGCTGAAATAGACGAGAGTACATTGTAATGAAGAAATAAGAAATTCAGAAATGGATAATTAGGTGAATGAATCAGAATTTGATGGATAAAGTTTAACATGGATAAATACAAGCTTATCCATTTAGTCAGAGGAATAGAAAGGCGACTTTTTATCTAAATGGTAAGAAACTTTAGAATGCTTCAGTGCAGGGGAATCTGAAGATGCAAGTACAGCAGGTAATACAGAAGGCAAATGGAATTTTGGCATTTATTGCTAAAGGAATAAGAGTGTGAACATCACAAAATGTTCTTGCTACTATAAAAGGCATTAGTGAGACTGCACTTGGAGTATTGCGTAAAATTTTAGTTGTCTTACTTGAGGAATTTAGTTGTATTCGAGGTTATTCGGCCCATTGAGTATGCATTGACCCGCTGAAGAGCATTCCCCGCCCCCATACCCTACATGGGTTTTTTTTAAAACCATTGACTAACTCACCTAAACTGCACATCCCTGGACATCATGGAGCAATTTTTTAGCATGATCAATCCACCTAATCTGCACATCTTTGGATGTGGAAGGAAAACTGGAGCACCCAGAGGAAATCCACACGGACACAGAACTGAACATAGTCGCCAAAGGCTGGAATTGAACCTAGGTCCCTGGCGCTGTGAGGCAGGAGTGCTAACCATCCTGCCATGGTGCCGCTCTCTCATGTTCAGTATTGTGTGCAGCTTTGCCCTCCTTATTTCATGAAGCTTGAAGATTGGTTGGAGGTGATTCAGTTTGATGTATTGAATGAACAGATTGTTTTATGTGGATAGGTTGGACAGGCTAGGCTTGTTTCCAGTGTGGTTCAGAATAGTGAGGGGTGACTTGATTGAAAAGTATCAGATCCTACATGGTCTTGATCAAGTGGATGTGGAAAGGATGTTTCCTTTTGTCGGTCATTTCAGAACTAGGACCATTGGTCAAAAATTTAGGGGTTGTCTTTTCAGGATGCAAATGAGAAATGTTCCTCAATGTGGGGTCATTGAGTATTTTCAAGAAAGATGTGGATAGATTCTTGTTAGGCAGAGTCTGGATTTAACTCTGGGGGGAGATGGGAATGAGGAATCGGCAACACCACCAGAGCAACCATGATCTCTTTGAATGACTGAGTAGGTTTGAAAGTTGAATGATCTATTTCCGTCTTGTATGTCAAGCCTATTGCTGTACCAATTTGGTGTTTTTGCTGAGGATAACTGAAGTGTTTCACAGGAACTGTTTAATCGCCAAGATATTGATGATTGAACTTGGAATAATCCAGGGAATTGTCGTTGGGGAGTTGCAAGAGCACTGAATTTGAGCTGGTTGCTGGAGCAATTCCGAGGCTAGGAATTCTGGGCGAGCAACTCCCTTCCCCTTTACCCAATGCCTG